AAAAAGAATGTGGACAGGGCAATACTTTGAGTTTACAGCTTGTCCAAGGTCATTCATTATTAATATTATTAGTAATATCTTCGTTAAAGACTTTGATGGCGACAGCTCAAACATGAGAGGTTGAGCTTTATTAGCTCCACCTTGCGGAAATTCCGGATGCTATTATTTTGCTTGCGGTATTATAGGAGAATTTACGGTAACTCGTGGTAGACTGCGTAAAGCGCACCGCAAAATAATGCGTTATCGCCCGCGCATTTTGAATGGCTGCATCTGTATATTATATTTATTTTCACAGCAAACAGCTACACCGGAGCCCTTAATAAACTAGATGCTTCATGTGCAGCTTGCAAAAATGCATTCTTGAAGATATATACTGTTCTCTATTAACAGGTTTAGATTGCCTACCTGTTTCACAGCTTTGTGATTATTTCTAACAGATTTGTTAGATTTTATGTTCTCAAACATAAAGGAAATGAATGTATTTCTGTGTGAAATAATATGTACAGTATGTACATGTGTGTATTCATTTCAGATCATATTAATTCAGATTTTATACCGAGCATGAATTATAATTAGGGTAAAACAGCCTTGATTCTAATATTCCAGTATCATTTTTTTTAATTACTTCTTTATACTATTTCTTCAGATTAGAATTAAGATTCTGATATTCTGTGATGTTACTATAAGACATTCAGCAGGGAATTCTACTTTGGTTCACTATATTGCAAATAACATACGCTGAACTCTTGCAAAGGACTAAGGCAAGACAGAGCCTTTGCTCTTCTTTGTGTTGCAGAGACTGTTTTCTATGGGCTGCTAATGACTGAATTCTGTTGGTATGTGCAGGAAGGATGGGTCAAAGGAGCCCATTGTTGAGATGAGAACAGAAGAGGAGAGAATAACTAACCCTGATGATGGGAGCCATATTAACGAGCCCAATGAGACCACACCACTCACAGAGCCTGAGTAAGAGTTGATTTTATTGGCTCACTTAGAAGTGCTTTTTATCTGGAGAATGTAGGGTCAGGTACAAACTCCCAAACATGAAGCCTAAGCGGTGCTTTCATAGTACTCCTTAATAAACCTGTAAGAGAGATGATGTTTTATGTTGTCTTCATTTTTAAACTATATGTCGTTTACTAAGTTAACTTTTAAAAAGAACGTAGGCCCCATTTCTGGTTTTCTGACTTGGTAAATATCCAAGTATCACAAGTATTATATAGTGAGTATCACAAGATGAGCTGGACAGACAACAGGGAATAAAAAAGCATACAAATTAACATCATGCAGATTGCAAAACACAGGACTGTTCAAAAATAAATAAGAAAAGCTGTCAGCCTTCAATGAGATGGATTCTCAGCGTACAGGAAAAGCACAGGAGAGTGGTGTGGTCTGAGGAACTTTTTTCAGAGTGAGGGATGCTGACTTTAGAATGTCACCTCCCATTTCAAATTGAAGCCTGTCATTTAGCTGAGAAACTCATCAGAGCAAATATATCTTAATGATACTGAACAAATGTATTATTATATGTTTTATTTTGGCGGTACTTATATGTGTCATATTTTGAGCAAATACAACCACTATAAAAATATTCCCACTTAGCATTATATTTTGCATTATCACTGTTGTCTTACAGTACAGGATGTAGGTTATGGTATAGTAAGATATATCCTTACTTTTGTGCTGGAATATTTTACTAATGTGCCATTTCTGTTTATTTTTTGTGTTATTTTGTTTGGTTTGCTTAACATAATGCACTAATTTTGCAGTAATTACTACACAGAGCTTACATCTGTATAAGCAGGGTTTCTTTCTTGGAATGTTTATCTTTAATGTTTTGTTCACAGGTTATATTTATCAGTGCTCTGGCGATATACTTGGTACTGGGGATTTTGAGCCTCTGTATGTATCCTCTCATGAGGCACCAGTAAATGTAGGGGTTGTGCTTAACTGGGACAATTATTAATTGTAGTAGTA